AATCTCATCGTACTTTCTTTCTTTAAAGATACGGGCATACTGCAGGAGAAGCTACACACAATGCAGTAGATTCTGCCATCAATGTTGGTGTAACTGCCTACAATATTGACAACATTGGCATCAAAGCAATGGTGAAGAAAACTGCAAAACAAACGGGACACACACTCCTTGAGGACTATAAAATAGTTGATAACTCTAAGGGGGAAAATCAAAGAAGAGCAAATGTAAACGTGAAAGGGGAGAAAGATGAGCAGACAGAGGAACTAGAGAAGAATGGGGCAAAGAAGAAAGACAAATGATGGAAGTGCTGTGAATTGCCTATACCAAAGCCTTACAGATGGGTGCAGTTTTGTTAGATAGGCACATGTGGAATTCTGCACAGATTAACCAGGATTTTTAAAATGTATTCATTCCTACAAAGTGACTATTTCCAAAGCTCTTTATAGCATGTATTCTACTTACAAGGCAAAGAATCAGTATTCTTGGATCTCACCTTTAGAAGTAGTTACACTCTGATTTTTTCCCTAAATGTGGCTAAAATATTTTTGCAGTTAAAATAAGAATAATAGATGTGCTATATAAACCTTATTAAACCTAATGTTAAACTATTTTTGTATTTGCTGTCTTTCAGAAAGCAAAGTAGGAAATTATATATTTACATAAAATTTGGCGTTTAGTAATCTTAGTTCTGTTTGTATTGGGAAGAGTAACTTAAAATTGTCTCCTCTTTTTGCACTAACTGTGGATTTTTTTTTAGGTGCTTGTTGGAATTTTCAGCGTATAAGCTAAGCAAAAACTGTAATCATAAACTAAAAGAATTATAACATTTAAAAGACTTTCAAAACAAAGAATAGACTAATCATGAAAAATAAAATGAGGTTCTATAAAATTATGTTAGCTTATTTCTTTGTTAGGAAATATGATGGTCTTTTTTATTTAAAATGAATACAAATAGATTTTTAAGTCTGGATTTAGACTGTAATAGATTGATCTGTTAGGAGCCTAGG